ACATTGAATCTCTTGCAAGAGTTGATATTAGATTGGAACTATTGAAGAGTCTAGAAATATTATAAAGTGTTGAAATGAATATTGTCTCAAGCTGCAAATCAAACAATATGCCAACAAAAATCTTATCCAAAATGTTTATGGTATTAAAAAAAACCATATAGATTGAAGATTATGAGTTAAATACTCAAATGATTAACCAATATTTAGACACTAAGAAAAATCATTCATCCTCATGACGGAAATGATGAATTGATATTTGGTCCAGGAGTACCATATCTTAGTGAGGTATGTGCCTTATTGTACTTAGCACAATACACTGAGTCAGATGTTACATTTCCTATGAAGCACAATACCAACATATGATATTAGAATGAAGTAAAGTTTATCTTTTGATAAGTCCAGGAAATTATAGACATGTGCTTTTTCTATTCCAAATAACACATTCATGGTCTTATTAGACAAGCAAGAATCTGAATATCTCTCTAACCTGCATACAAATCGCTCTCAGAAATGATTTGCATTTACATATGGAAATAAATTGATCCTACAACAATCAAGGAAGCAACATTCATTGCCATATCTTCATATCTCTCAGAAATACAGGAGTTTGGTTAAAACCTATGGCCATTAAAAGTTGGAGCGTGTGCGAACCACCTTCAGAAGCAAACACTTCAACTATCATGAATGATATCAAATTACATCAACATAGTAATCAGTCAGATTAAAGAATTTAAAATTAGGAGGAGATACTCATCAGAGGGATCATTCAAAACATATCAAGATTTTAACGAGGCGACCGAAATTAACGTATGGCCATCCAAGGGGGACTGTTGTAATATAATATGTGGATGGACCACATGAATAGTTCATTACTATTCATCCAAAGAAAAAACAGATGGATTATTATTCATATAAAGAAAAACAGATGAGTTACTATTTATGTACAGTATTTCACTATTCATTTGAGGAAAGTTTGTAAAATGAATAGTGTTGCTATAGTAATCTTTTTCCTATAAGATGAGAGCGTAAGGAGGAAGGAAGAAGTGAGAAGAAGAAGAAAGAGGGAGAAAAACATACAAGGAAAGAAAGAGGAGTTATGGAGGAAAAGGAAGAGAAGAGGAAAGAAGAGAGATGCGAAGGAAATTACCAATGAGCCAAGCTAGAGAGAAAGGAGAAAATAGTAAGAGTTATTTTATACTCCTATTATTTCAGATAATGAAAGAAAGTACTACTGCTGCCCGAGGACATAGGCAAACTTGCCGAACCTCCTAAATATTGTGTCTTATTTACTTTATTCCACCGTACACATATCGTCAACTTTACAACATGAAACAAAATGTTGAAAGTGAAAACAAATTAAAATATTTTTTTTTTTTTAGTTTTCATTTTGTGTCTCATCTCATTGCCTCTCCATTCGACGTCTTTCACACAACCCTTCCTCCAACTCTTTTATTTCTCTCTCATGTGACGAAAATTACAAATTAAAAACGAAATAGTTACCAAGGGGCTACTAGCTTGATTGGTTAAGTACATTCTTCCTTGCATCAGAGATTTTGAGTTCGAATACGGCCCTCTCCCAATATGACTTATATATAAAAAATAATAACAGAATAATTATCAAAACAAGTCCGATGGACTTTGAAGCTACGGACACATTAACAAATTGAATAATTGAAAACTTTGATTAGTCCAAAACAAGATGCCTAACGAAAGTGTGTCTGTATTTGAGAGTGTGATAATTATTGTTTTAAGTTTAGGATTAGCATTACGGTTTAGTTGTATTTTTTTTATTTATAAATGAAAGGTGTTAGATTCGAATTTTGGAATTGAAAGTTCAATGTCAATTTATTTTTCTTCTCTTAAATATATTGTTGTATAAAAAAAATATTTATAATTCAACATTGTGATTTAGAGGAAAACTTTGAGATTCAACAATTGTTCTGTGTTAGAAAATACTCTCCACACTGATTACTGATTTTTGAACTATAACTTGTTATGAGTGACAAATATATATTGTACTCATGATTTATAGTATACTAATTACGAAAATAAAATTGTGACTACTTAATGAAAAACTATGTCGTCAAGTATATATGTGGCCTCACTTTCCATGCATATATATAAGACGCATCTTAATCATTTTGCGACGGTGCAAACGCAAGTTTATCAAACTAAGTGACATGCTATCATTATATTTTGGAAATATGTTTCTTATCATTCTTAAGTGATGATGATGTTCGTCACTCTATTTATCATAGTTAGATGAACTTAATTATCAAGATTTATGTAGTGATGTTATTTAAACATATTCAACGATGATAAATAGGATGGTAAATATTATCAACACTTGAGGTGGTGAGCCAAATTACACCCCCAAATATTGTGAACGTGATCATACATTTTGAGACTTGGTGGGGAATATTATCATGAAAATAACACCACTAGGAAAAACTCAGAACTAGGTGAAGTTGACAGTTATATAAGGAAGTGAGGACTGGAATCAATAGTACCACTACTTTTCCACAATGTATAGTAGAGTAAAACACATAGGGAATGTTATTTAGTCAAACTACAATATGGTCTTCCTATTCAGCCCGCTGTGTTTCAGATTCAAATTATCTTCATTTTACTTAGTACAGATTAGTGTAGAATATCGCTTTATTATAATAATAAAAATTTATGTTGCACACTCCAAATTTGGACTATTAATAATTTTTGACATGTTGGGGGAGGGGAAATGTACTTGAGCACAAGGCCTTAAGTGCAAAAAGTGATTGAATCGTGGGTCCTTGCTAAAAATCACAGAATTCACCGTTCACCAAAAGTTGAAGAAAAAGAAATCTAGGCTTTTAGAAAAAACATAGAGAGAGATGAAAGACTGAATTCTCATTCGACTTATTATCACAATTACAACTGTAGTAAGCGATAAGCTTATATACAAAGGTGGATTAACGATTATTGGGACCCTCTGCTCAATCAGCATTGAAATATTGTAAATCAAGGAAATTAGGAGTAAATTGAATTCCAAAGATCAAATTTCCCTTGATATACCTGAGAATCCTCTTAAATCCCATGAGATGAACTGAAGTTGGATTATTAATTAATTGCTAACAGTACTATTGGCAGCAAATGCAATGTCTAGGACCTGAATATATATGTAAGGTATATATTGTAAAGCTCCTACTGTACTTTGAAACAAGCTAGGATCTAGAAGGGAATTCCATCATACTTGATCCATTTTCGAGCAGGACCTAAAGTGTAGATAAGGCTTGCAGTCCTGCGCGTTCCCATTTTGTTCAATAGCTTAGTGGCATACTTATCCTGATTCACCGACAAGTCCTGTTGCTGACGATGGACTGTAAGGCTAGGGGTGGTTTGATGAACTATTTCATTTTCAGTCTTAAATTTTTATTTTTTATAAAACTAAAATACGTTTGGTAACTATTTTTAATTTTTAGGGTTTTAATATACAAAATTGAAAACAAAAACTTGAAGGCAAATTTTGAAAATTCAATGAACTGTTTCAAGTAGTAACCAATCGAGTTTTTAGTTTTTCAATTTTCTAAAAAATAAAAAATTAAGACGAAATAGTTATCAAATAGCCGCTTAAGAAATAAGAACAGGATCCAAGATCATTTTACAGTATTCAAATTCTTTGAGTTTGTTCTCTCTTTCTTCTCTCAATGCAAATCCCCAAATTCTAGGGTTTTAGTTGAGAGATTTTCACAAAATTCCCTAAATTAATTAATTTGTTCAAGTATAATTTCTTTTTCTATTTTTGACAAACAATATGATAATCTACATTAAACTACAAGGATGTGGATTTAGACACAGATCTTTCCATGCAATGACGAATACTCACAACCAACTGAGTTACATGTCACTTGGATCTGTTTGAATATATTTAAGTCTTTAAGAATATTAATTAAACTCCAAGTCATAGTGGTGAGATCTACCATACAGTAGTGGATGCCTTTTCTAATTTTTTTTATTATTAGAGGCTCAGCCTGTGGAGTGTGTGGGGCATACATACTGAAGAATATTTGGTTAAATAGTAAGGAAGAATTAGAAACCTACATTATATTAAGGTTAATCAAATTATTGTGCACACGCCTTCATGTACGCGTACGCAAGGATATGATCGATGCCACGCACTAAACTTTTCCGAGCCATAAGAAAATAATGTCCGTGTGCTGGATTGTCTATATATAAGCATCAAATTAATGATGAAAATTGTCTTAAACGGCAGAAGGGTATATACTAGAACTCAATGATAAATTATGAGCTTTAATATCGATCGACCAATTAATTTTACAAATATTAGCTAGTTAGATCGTACAATTCTACGATTAATTTTACAAATATTAGCTAGTCAAATAGCCGCTTAAGAAATAAGAACAGGATCCAAGATCATTTTACAGTATTCAAATTCTTTGATTTTTTTCTCTCTTTCTTCTCTCAATGCAAATCCCCAAATTCTAGGGTTTTAGTTGAGAGATTTTCACAAAATTCCCCTAAATTAATTAATTTGTTCAATTATAATTTCTTTTTCTTTTTTTTGACAAACAATATGATAATCTACATTAAACTACAAGGACCTGGATTTAGACACAGATCTTTTCGTGCAATGACGAATACTCACAACCAACTAAGTTACATGTCACTTGGATCTGTTTGCATATATTTAAGTCTTTAAGAATATTAATTAAACTCCAAGTCATAGTGGTGAGATCAACCATACAGTAGTGGATGCCTTTTCTAAAAATTTTTTATTATTAGAGGCTCAGCCTGTGGAGTGTGTGGGGCATACATACTGAAGAATATTTGGTTAAATAGTAAGGAAGAATTAGAAACCTAAATTATATTAAGGTTAATCAAATTATTGTGCACAGGCCTTCATGTACACGTACGCAAGGATATGATCGATGCCACGCGCTAAACTTTTCCGAGCCATAAGAAAATAATGTCCGTGTGCTGGATTGTCTATATATAAGCATCAAATTAATGATGAAAATTGTCTTAAACGGCAGAAGTGTATATACTAGAACTCAATGATAAATTATGAGCTTTAATATCGATCGACCAATTAATTTTACAAATATTAGCTAGTTAGATCGTACAATTCTACGATTAGTACGAAATACCCTCTTCAAATTAGCTCGTTACTAGCTATAACATTGAAACAGCAGCTAGCTAGCTAGGTTTCACTATGTCAACCAGTGACATAAGGGAAGTACCTTAGACTTGCCACAGCCTCTTGCAGCCAATCGTCCTCGTCATATTTCTGAAAATTGACGAGTAAATGGTAATGGGTTATTGGTTATTGTAAACAAAAAATGATAACTAATTATTGGATGTGTGGGTTAATTTGCATTTTTATGCATGCATTAATTATGATATTGCATTTGCCTGGCATAATTATATTTTTTAAAACCTACCTGGACTGCACCACTACTACAGAACGGTTCTGATCGCTGATCTTTGCAAGTTTGTATATTGCTCTGAGTCTTTTTCTGTGCTATTTCCTCATGATGATCAGTGTTCCTTGCAAATCTCCCACGAACTCGGACCCTTCTATCAGCTAGGGTTTTGCGACAAGCATACTGTGCATACATAGAAAAGTAATTAATAATGAATTCTTAAAACATGGTATTTGCATATATATTTGCTTATAAAAATGTTCTGTTGTTATACTGTTTAATTATATTGTCAAACTGTGAATTTAACACATTAATTAGTTTTTTTTTTTTTTGTCTCATTTTGTGATTTAGATTCGCAGTTTAGTAATTTAGTTTCAATGTTAAATATATTTAAATCTGTTGTACCTTAATAGTTTTGTTGAAGTTCCTTTGGTTTCTTTTCTTTAAATATCTGTCAATCCTTTCTTTCCTTTCTTCTTCTGAATACCTTCCCACCTTCATTGTAGACTGATCTTCAACTGTAGGCACCTGCTGATTCTCTTGATTAATTGCCTACACACAAAATTTACACAACTAATATTCTACAGGATCTCAGTTAACCATATATGCACAGCACTACTTTGCACCGATATACGTACTAAGGATCAAAAAACAAAAATATAATATACAAATTCGTTATGATAAATATGATCAGGTAGAAATAGCATACCCAATTTTCTTGACCAGCAAAGCTAAACGGCTTGAAATCGGCTGACATGAGTCCAGTAAAACAATCCTCCCCGAACTGCTCACAGATATAAGGAAGGTTTAATTCTCCACCAAAATTGGGAGTCCCTCCAATTACATGCAACCCCATATTACCATATTCCGAATATGTACCAGGGACAGCAATATCTTCCGATAATCCTAGTAGCTCTGGGAACGAAGCTGCCATAACAGACGAAGAGATGTTGGATTCTGGTGACACCACATCAAAATTAGCCGCAGCATTGCTACTATCACAAAACGGTACCAAGCTTTCTTCACATGTAGTACTAGCACTCCACACAGTTCCACCTAAAATTGCAGTACTGCAACCATTTTCTCCGTTCACCACCGGAATTGGGTGCCCGTAAAAATCAGAAGGGAGTGAATTGTCATTGTAGAATTGATGAGGAATGGAAGCCATGGACAAGAGAGCTAGCTGGTGAAGGGCTAATAAGGAACTGAGTTTTTTATGCACTGTGTTAGTGAGGCTTTGAACATATATATAGCAATGGTCGATGGGATAGTAGCTAGAGCACTGTCTTTTTGGACAAGTTGTTCACCCGTACAGTTTCGGGCAACTGACTGGTGTGCTGCTGCTTAGACAAAAATAGCTAATCAACATAGCTAGCTCCGTGTAACTGTCACACTTAGTTTACTGTTAGATTGTAAGCGCGTAAACTTTTGTTGTTTAACTGTTTAAGGTTAAAGACAAGTTCTAGCTAGTGCTGTTAATTAATTAACTACACTACGAATTTGGTCAAGATGCTATCTACACATATGTGGGGGATAAATTGCACTTCTCCTGTTGGTACAATCGATAGTTTTACAAAGTAATAATAGTCTTTTCATATAGAATAGTGAGGAGTTTTAACCCATGTGGTGATTAAGAACACACCCTAGGTTCAACATTAGATTCCCGCCTTACCTAATAGTAGCTTTTACTAGAAAAAAAAAACATGTGGAAAATCTAATACTTAAATCAAATAAAAATAACAAATTAGATTAAACAGGGTTGTGTAAGAAAAAAATAAAAAGAAAAGTATTTTCATATTTTCCATATTTATAGTGCTGCATACTATTCTCTCCAACCGCACTTTTTAAACACAAAAATGTCTTCTGTTACTAAACAAGTCAAGTCAAACCATGCATGGCCCTACACTCAATCAAACACAACCTTATTGCTTTGAGTTCTATTAATAATAATGAGTAATAATAATAATGGGTGTGTGTAACTGTATATAAAAACACTTTGCAATATATATATTTACTTTAATTAAGAAAGAGAAAGACAATAATAGACAGCAAAGCTGGTTACATTTCTGATTCCAAAATCATCATCTCCTTCTTTCAAACCATGCATGGCCCTACACTCAATCAAACACAACCTTATTGCTTTGAGTTCTATTAATAATAATGAGTAATACTAATAATGGGTGTGTGTAACTGTATATAAAAACATTTGCAATATATATATATATATATATATATTTACTTTAATTAAGAAAAAGAAAGACAATAATAAACAGCAAAGCTGGTTACATTTCTGATTCCAAAATCATCATCCCCTTCGTTTCTTTTTTTGTCAAACATCATCCCCTTCCTTTTGCAATTGCTTTATTTTTCTTAACAGAAAATCGTTAATAAAAAGGGACTCTCTGTCGAAACTCCGGTTTTTATGACCTAACTTTTCTGTATTAAAAGAAAAAAAACCCTACTTTTCTTTTTGTTAGATTTGTCCCTTAAAACTTAAACTTGCATAAAATGATATTACAACAAAGCGTCTTAGCGAGGAATACACAAGCAAGAGAATTATAGTTGGCTCACCCCCAAATTGCTGGCTCGTGCGTGCATGCCATATTCAACAATAGGAACAGAACTACACAACCAAGAGAGACTAGGAAATAATATAAGGAAATTTTGTTCATTCTACAAGAGTTTTAGTTATCCTTCCTTGAAGGTTAAAATAGTTTTTTGAAGAAGCATATATATGGTCAAATATCATGGATAGGGTGTTTGGTTTTTATAAATGCGTTCAAGTTCGAAACTCTCTCTTCTTTAAGTTTTTGTAATAGTTTTGAATTCTTTCATCTTCCATTAATAATAATAAAATTTAAAACAATAAAAAAAATGTTTTGAAGAAGCATAGAACGAAAAGTTGGCTTGAAGAGACCCGATAAAGAGAAATAGAGGGCCTCATGTGAATACTATTCTTATACTGTTTAAAGCTGTCCAACCTATAGGTACTACTAAAGAACTGACCTACTTATACGCTAAGAATCTAACACATGGCATGTATGATTTTTGCATCAAGAAATCAAGTACAACATATATGCCTGCCTCAAACTTGATCATTCATTTACACACCAAAATATAACTAAACTGTTTCACTGCTTCTTATATGTAAAGATTTATTCCTGCATAATCAATAAAAAAAAATGTTGTCTGATACATATATGAACATATCTCTGCAAACATGATCAATTTTTGATTTATTAAAAAAGAACAATGGGAAGCCTAGTATTTTTCTTTTCCTCGTACTTAGGAAGCTGCTTAGTTTAATATGAGCATGGGTTCATTCATGTTTTGTTTTAATCACATATTTGGTAATGTTCTTGTTGTTCTTTATTTCTTTGTTTTAGGTAAACGAGTAAACATTGCATGTGAATAATATATATGTGATTAGATATTGGAATTTACCCTATGTAAAATGGCAAATATATATATTGCTCCTTATGTTCTTAAGAGACATTCTAATGCTAGGAATATATATCCCAATCATATCTTGGACCCAAATTACAGCTGTGTAACAACTCGAATAAATCGAATTAAGGTTTAAAAAATGAAAAATCCTGCCAATTAAGCCTACCCAATAGTATAAAATAATAAAATTAGATGTTCATAAAGTTTATTAGTTTGGCGGAGATTGCTTAATTTTCCTCTCATAAAATAACCATGAGTGCCCAAGCCACAAATGCTCGTCATTATACAGGGCATGGTCTCATTGGCATTCAAATTTGATTAAGCTTAATTATTTATGTATAAAATATAAGATAAGGATATTTAGCTTAGGTACGAACGCCGGCCTATGGAATTTGAAGATGGAATAACCATATTTTCTTCTGTAAGTCTATCATTCGTGTGAGGGAAAAGTCTAAAAGAAAGTAGAATATCTAACTGAGAGATCTCATACTTGATTGACATGAATGAATGTTATTATCAAATTTATTTCTAACTGTGGTCTAGTGGTAAGCATCCATTTACTTGGCTTTTAAACAGAAATTTCGTAGAAGCATATTTTTAATAAAAAAAGATTAGGAACTTTCATACACACTCATTCCCTTTTTTCCTGATTTCACAGCATCCTTTACTTGGCTTTTAAACATTTTGGCAAAATGTTGATGGTGGTGAAATGTAGCAACAAAGATTGTCACTCGGAAACAGAAACCAAGCACTGCTTCGATCTTCTTTTTTATTCTTCTAATGAAGTTCTGATTTTCTAAGAGGGTACGGTATCTGGTTCACCATGTCGTTGAAAGATTCTGGGCTTTCTTTTCATACCAACTCCAGTATCAAATAAAATATGGAGAAATCAAAAGGGATCACAAGTTGGGGGACATGTTTGGTTGAGAAACATTTTTCAATATACCTGAAACACAAGACGGTACACCTATGTCGTTCTCTTATATCGTATCACATTGTATACTACCCTGCATTTTGGATACACATAAAAACTTCTCGTTCTTAGAAGAGCATTTTTGGGTACCAATTTGTGTGGGTGCAGTTTATCTCTCACTAGCTATTTGCCACAAAAAGTGAAATTTGAGATAGAATTGAAGATTTTGTAGGCGGTAGTAGTGCATAGAATCAGGTCCTCTGGTAGAACTTTCCATGCCATCAACAGACGAGATTTGCCTGCAGACCCCTACACCCACTTGCATGTGAAAAACTGTTCCTCACTAAGCAACGTTCTCACTCTTCTTTTGATTGAAATCCACACACAGTATTGTCCAAATTTTGATGAGACGTATAGAAGATCATAATTCTTAACCCTCTCTCTAAAAAAATAAAATAAAGATCTTATGAGGCCAACCCCTTATTTCCTAGGGTATATAAGTTAGTTGAAGAGCATCTTGAGTAGATTAGATAAACTCACTTTTACGTCCTTTTCTTTTCGCAAATTCCCGAAATCAGCACACTAAGTGTGGCCGGTTAGGAAGGAGAAAATTGAGTGAGCCAAATTGAAGTAAAAGTAGGCTTACTTTTCAAAAGTTAAAATTAAATTTAATGTTTTTATATTGATTAAATTGCAAGATGACATCAAACAGTGTATAAGATAACAAAAAACCAAAACCAAAAGCACAAACTTCACACAACCCCAAACAACCTTAACTCTAAAGCAAGCTCTAATCCTAAATCATAAGCATCATTGCCACCACAAGAGCCTTGCCATCAAGCCGATCACATCTAGTCAAGAAACAATTGTAAAACAAGGGCAGATATTGAGAAAACTCAAGTCTGCGACGAACTAATAACTACGCATAAGAGCAAATAGCAAAGGATCCTTGTATGATAACAATGACCAAAGAAGTAACTCGAAAAACAGCAACAAAATCCTTCATAAGCGGAGTGTGGTTTTAATGATTAGGGTTTAGGGGTTTTCTTACCCAAATACAATTAGACCAATCCAACATGTTCATGTCGGTACAACGTGCGTGTCGTTCGGAAATGAATCCAAAGGCAGATTTTCCTGGGAGCATAAAATCACAACACAGCATTTTTTTCTGTTTCCCATCATTTACCAGTCAAGATCCTCCTTGCTCAGATTTGTCCAGACTTTACCGTACAGGATAAATCCCTTTCCAGTCTCAATTGCCCCCTCTGATTAAATGCCATCGCACCGCTTTTTCTTGTTTCGTATTCCCTTCCAAGATATGTTTGCGACCAGAATGATTTTACAAGAAACTAGGGTTGGGAGGAGTCAATCGATAGTACAAAATCAAAAATGCATCTTGGAAATTTGATGGATAACCCTAATCTATTGAAAATTTTGAGATCTATTGAAAGATATCAAGTCTAGACCCTAGTTAGAGCCCCCGAAAGCTTCCATTTTCTCCTCATGCACACCCATGTTTACGAGCTTATGGACCGAAAAAACCAAAGGACAATCATGAGAAAAATGGTGTATAAATATTATTTCTCATCAATAAAGTTACGGGTAAACTAAATTTGTAGATGAAATTTTATAAACTAAATGATATGAAAGTTGATGAATTGATTAGGACTTAGGCATTGACCAACGTACTCATTTCTATTGATGACACATCATTTAGTTTGCAAATTTTGTCTACAAATTTAGTCTCCCTAGCATATTACCCTAAAGTTATTCGAACAATAGGCTACACTTGAGCCTTAATTTAAACTACCAGGCGACCAACACGAACTTAAAGACATTAAGAGAACACACAATTCTAGCCAACTTAGTTGCGGCATTAGAAGTATTTTACATGCACGCAACTAGCCAAAAGCTTGCGAACCCCAGATTGTGGAACAGTGAATAACACTTTATTCCCTCTGTCTCAATTTTACGGCATGCACTCATGTTCTCAGTACTTTAAGCTTTGTACTTGGCTTAATACGAAAAGCAGACAGAAAATACCGCTAATGCACGCACATCTTGGATCATATAATCAACTCAGGGCTAAAAAAGAACATTACATCAAATTATCACCACTGGATCACGACATGGATTCGAGATAACCAACCATTCTCAGGGCTAAAAAGGAACATTACATCAAATTATCACCACAGGATCACGACATGGATTCAAGATAACCAACCATTCAAATCTAAGTAACACTCAAATCTAATAGCTCCACACAAAATGTTCATGACCAGTTAAAACGTCGAGTGTAGATATTATGCTATGCTCTTGGAAAATCACATACATCCCAAGTCACTATAGCTGTTCAAGGAGATAAACTATAGGAGTTGCTTTTCCCAGTTTCTGTGCCACATTGACTAGGAACTTATTCTACAATCTACACTGATCATCAATCCACTCGACAGTTGGTAACAACTCAACATTTATCATGCAGCTCAGACGCATTATGCAGCATAATGGTGATAAATGTGACTGGATATGACGATGACCAAACAAAACAAAGACTAAACTTGCACAGCAGTTGAACTAATTTAAGAAGCCACATAAACTAGTTAGATATTGCAATTTTCAATCTAATAAAGAGGGCTCCAACTTTACATCCAAAGTCAACAAATGACAACCGCAAAATGGTAATGCCAATTAGTTCTGTTTCAAATGAACAAGCAGGTATAGTCTGAACGATAAAGCAATTATTTACATAGCATACCTGCATTCCATGACATTCTCAAGCCTACAAAACCTTACTCTAGTTTGCTGGAACTCAACTCGATGTTGATTACATCTCAAAAATTGATATGCCTCAGAGGACAACCCATGGACCTTCCATCCAAAGGAGCAACGTAGCCAAGAACAAGCTCAACCCACAGCCTAACAAAGGAATCTGCGAACAACTTTTGCACAACCTGTCAAAAAGAACTTGATTGTTCACTTCATTGACAGGGCCCAATGATGAACTCAACATATGGGATCATTCAGAAGGATAAACATCGGTGGTGTACTTTTAAAATAATGAAAACTCAAAGGCATAAAACCCATCAATTATGGATTTCACGACTTAGAAAAGTCAAAGATAACTGACTTTTGTTATTAAGGGCCCATACATTGTCTATCGTCACAGGTCAATTTGAGGCATAAACGGTGTGCCATCTCATGCAACTCATAACAATGATGTCTGGAGCCTCATATTGTAAATTTTACATCAATATGGCTAGCATGTGCACACATAGATATGAAAGCAGAGAGAGAGAAACTAAGGTCAGACATACCAATTATTATCAGTACCAAGCAACTGTATTGTAAATGCTAGTGTATATTGCGGTTAAGCAGTCCTTGGAATGATAAATAAAGATCTTTGTTATCAGTCCCGAATATTTCTTCCGCTTTCCTTAAAGTTTCCTGAAAAAGATGTGCACAAATTTTAACTACTTTGGTAAACAATGGTCTTCTAGATGTTTAGTTGTATCATTTGGTAAACCATCAAACAGTTGACTAGTGCTTTACCTCTCTGGTTTGCTTATGAGCATTTAGTTCCTTGATGTTAGCCAGAAATGCACTGAACTGCTCATATGATAGACGGCTCCTGTATTGCACTATATTTAGATCAGTCTACGAAGGGCCAAGTTACTATAGTAACAGATCAGTAACAGTACACAGGAATTGCATTAATTGTACCAACCTGGCTTGACGAAAGAACTCTTTTCCGTCAATTCTAGGAGTGCGCCCTACCAAATTTGCAATGCAGAAGATGAAGAGTTTTAATTCCAAAAGATAATTCAACATAGTAGAAGAGAGTGTTCATATACTGTTATCAACAACTGACTGTTGTACAGACAGACGCAGAAATTTTTACTTTTGGAGTAAGAGGGGGGAGGGGTTGGTTTCGAAACATAATCGCATATTTGTGGCAAATGATAAAACAGGCCACAGAGAACCAGAGATTCCCGAATTCAGATGAAAGAATGAATTCCAAACCTGAATGTGAACGTCCACGAGGTGGAGAGTTTGCTGCTGATGACTGCTGGCTTGACGAGTACCATGAAGAAAATGAACTCCGTTCTTTATAGGCGGGTTTTTGGGGTGATGTGGCACCAGAGGATTGCTGAGGAGAAGAAATGGCAGAATACCCTCTAGGTGACCCACTTGTGGAAATAATCTTTGGAGTTCCAGTTGGAGTAAGCCGCGGAGTGATATATGGAGTCATAGAAAATCCTTGACCAGAATTCTTCAAGGCTGTCAACGAAACAGTTGGTTTCATGAGTTTCGGTAAAAAGAATAACTGAATAATATTTGAATCTGCTACTTCATAATAACAAATTGAGATAATTTAGGTAGAAGTACTCGGAAAAAAATTCATTAATCAACCACCTCATGGTCCTCATATGTTCATATGTTCTTTTCTAATGCAAAAAAAAAAAATATACCTCGCAAATGTTTTTTGCAATGTTACTTGTTCTAACAGGTAGCACACAGGCAGGATAGAGGTCCATGGAGGGAAGAGTCAGATTATATACCTTCATCAGTTGCTCCCTTATCTGTGGAACTGCTTGAGGAATATTGTCCAGTGTAGACATTTGTGTCCTCATCTGTAGCAGAACAGAGAAACAATCCACATTAACCACCAAATGAAAGGAAATACAAGAAGCAAAATTAGAACCTACACCATTGTGGGAAAAAATTGCTAAACATCATTGATTTATTGCAGAAAACTATAGAGCACTTGATCAAGTCAAAGATACCGTACCCTTTTCAGGATATGCCTTAGGAACTGTGCCAATATCAACAGTTTCAGCTGGCTATAAAACGGAAAATATAGCGAATGAGTTGAATAAAGAAAACATAAAAAAGAATACAAAGATCCACATGAAAACCTCCATCACTAGAAGAAAAATAACAGACTTAGATTTTCAAATATATAATAAGAAACCATAAGCGGTTAAGCTGAAGTGCTTACGGATCCGTTATCTTCATTCAGTGACTGCATTAGTTGTCTCTTAAATGTCTCCAACTGTTAACAGGATAAAAAAAAGTAAGTGCATCGGTTAACAGGGATAAAAAAAAGTCAGTCCATAGGTTAACATGCTACCAGAATGAAAATACATTTGCAGTATAATGATAGGTGGAAGGATGAACGAACAAGGAAATAAATTATGAGTTAGCTTCAATTTCAAAACAAGAATAGTGCATACATTAGGATATCCTTGAACAACAAAGAAAAAAGCCTCGTCCTTTAAACAAATAACAAATCGCACCTTTGCTAAATCACGGCTGAGCTTTTTTGTAGTCAATGCCAATGAATCTCGTTCCTTGGAAACCTTCAACTTCATGAACAACAAGAACATAACAAAGTCACAACTAATGCAAGTTTGTTTCAACATGAAACTCAAAAGTGATGCACCATTCATTGCTGAGGATATAAAGTTTACGAGGAAAAAAGAATGCTCAAATCTTGAACAGTACTATTGTTTTGTTTCTCGAGACAGTAATACAGCAAAAAGATGCATCCACCTTACTGACTGTTACAACAAGTTGATGTAACTCTGATAAATGCATTAGTAAATTACTATTTCTTCAACAAACCAAATCCAAAGAAACTCATGTGCATGTTTATTACAAACAATAAATGAATTCTAACAATTCCGACCAATTCACTCCGCAACCAACCAACCAAAAATTCTGACCGGAATCAAATTCAGAGGCAAGGTCTTACATTTTGCAGATACTAATTTTTTGGTCGAAGACGACTACTGTGATAACCCTCAACCCCTTCCTTTCCCCACGCCCAAAAGACAAAGAAAGATTAAATTTTCTTCCTTCTCTTAAATTTCGATCAATTTTCAGCAGCCAAAACAATACATAAAAAACACAAAATTTTGGGGGAAAACTCCTAAATTTCAAATTCAAAAGACAAAAGCAGATAAATTTTTTAAAAAAAAAAAAAAAAGGAAAATTGGGGATTGAAATGCTTACATTCTCATCCAGGGCAATTCTCAGGCGAGACTCAGCCTCGTGGTTGGCGTGCTGGAGGCGGGAAACCCTTTCCTCCAGCTCAAACACAACCCTATCTTTGTCCTGGAGCTTCTGCCTCATTTTCCCCATCTCAGACTCCAGCTTCGAAACCCTAGACGCTATGGCCATGGACGTAATCTTCCGCGCCAGATCCAGCTGGTCGTACGGGTCGCTCGGTATAACCGATAAGATCTCGTCCGGCAGCTGAAACTCCAGCCCCCCATCACCTCCACCACCACCGCCGACGACGACGCCACTTCCACTGCCCTGCGACATAGCTGACTCCTCCTCCTCCTCCGACTCTCGAATCTTCGCGCGGTGGTTGCGGTTGTTGGCTTAATTCGATTGAATTTTCCTTCTTCAAATATCACATTGGGCGCAACTGCAATTATTATTTATTTTTAATCTCATTTTATTAATTTTGAATAAATTCCCACCCTCCGGCCTTTTCTTTTCTTTTCTTTTTTTATTTATTTCTTAAATTTGTTTCCTTTTTTTCAGCACAATTTTTGCCTTTTCGGGGTCGCCGTCTTATTTCGAAATTTGCGTGGGGTTTCCCTCCAAAATCCAAACAAACATTAGGCTTGAAACACATAAGCCCAATAGTATCTGGGCCCAATAGTATTTGGGTTAAACAAAGCTTTTTATATTTTGGCCCCAAATTAAAACAAACTTTATACCCAGACCCCTCTCTCTCTGTCTCTCTCTCTCTCTCTCACTGTTCCAATTGCTTGGGACGTAGCTCGAAAAATCAAGTGAGTTCTTCAGACCCCCCATTTCAATCGTAAAATTTCCCGCAAAATTTGTGTTGCTTACCTGTTGAGGGTTTAGGGTTTATCTTATTCCTCATTTCTTCTCCTTCTCTGTCGTTACATCGCAGAAGGATTACAGGAACAGCACTTCAATCTTCAATCAGCAGCTTCAACGAAGGAAATTGAAAGGTTTGTAAAAAAACCCAACTGTTATTTTCGATTTAAAGGATCTTTTTTCAATGTGAGAGGTCAAAGATATAGTCTTTTGGGATTTTTTTATTGGGTTGTTAGAGTTTCAATCTAATATCAAGGTAATGAATTTTTTCGCGTTTGCTTTCGATATGTAAGTGCTCAATTTCTGTTCTCGAATGAAAAATTGAAAACATATTAGGAAATTAATTATCGAAAGCGTAAGTTTCGGATTAAAATTGGCCCAATTTGAATTTTTCGGCTATATGTAGTGTGATTTGCATCAGTAGGTTTTCAGCTTAGCTTCAATTGTTATCGAAAAACACGGATTGAAAAGTTTGGTTGAATGCAGTGAGAGACCATGTCAGTGCTTATAGTGACAAGCTTAGGAGAGATAGTTGTGGATTTGCATACGGACAAGTGCCCTCTGACTTGTAAAAACTTCTTGAAGCTCTGCAAGTAAGTCTATCTTCACTCCTAATTACCGTCTAATCAATCGTGTTAAACTTTTTCAGTTTATATTGTGTTGATTGAGGGCATGTCTTTGTTATTTCAGCTAAAAAGTAAGAAGCTTAGCAAATAAATTAATAGTTATGGCCTGAGTTTCCTTTTTATTGGGTCAAATTTCATATATTTTTTGAGCAATCAACAATCTTTTTTACTTCAGCTATGGATATATGAGCTTTGAGAAAGTAAAAGTGGGTTAATGTTGATTTCTTTTTTTTTTTTTTTTTTTTTTTTTTTTTTTTGTTGAGGATATTCCGATATTTGTTGAGTTTTGAGATTCTACTCGGCCATGTTCAATTACTAGGTTATAATGTGAATTGCTTACACATTTTCACAGATATTTGTTGATTTCATAAAGTATCTTACTTGCCTCAGAATTTTTGGTACACCATTGTTATGGTTCTTTGGAATTGAATTTTTATTTAGAACCTAGCTTAATTATGAATCAGTGGTTTTGTAGTTTTTATTTCTATTTTAGAATATCATCTCATTACTATTTTTTGCCTCTTTTTTTTAACCTATATATCGATTCAGGATAAAGTATTATAATGGGTGTCTTTTTCACACGGTTCAGAAGGATTTTACTGCACAGACTGGTGACCCAACTGGAACAGGTTCTGGTGGCGATTCTGTCTACAAGTAAGGAATCTGCACACTCTGTTTCGTGCTATGCATATCTCATGTAGAATCTTTTAGTTATGCTGAAATATTTAAATGTTTTTCTCTTCTGTCTACACTTGAACTCACCTTGCACCATGTTCTACCTTCAGATTTTTATATGGTGATCAGGCACGCTTTTTCAACGATGAGATTCATCTTGATTTGAAGCATTCTAAAACAGGCACGATTGCAATGGCTAGTGCGGGAGAGAATCTCAATGCTTCTCAGGTATAAGATTAATGCTTTTCTGGTATAAGTTTGTTTTCCCTGCATTAATCTTATTGAGAATAGGGTTTCATTTAGTTGAGTTGTGTATTTTTTAAAACTTATGCTTTTTGGATGGTGAACTTTTCATTTTCAATAACATTGTGGTGATGCACTGATTACTTTTTTTTTCCAGTTCTACTTGACATTGCGTGATAATCTAGACTATCTTGATGGAAAGCACACAGTAAGTCTCCGGTCCCATCTACCAATCTTTTACTAACTGTATGTCTTGGAATTTTGTTTACCCAACTTTGTCAACTATATGGCATATACGATAGTTTTTCCAGCCTAAATGTCTTCAAGAATATAATGTATAAAAAAATTAGCAATATTTCTTAGTTGCTACATCTGGTTGATAAATGCTGGGTAGTAGGAGAGGGATGTCAATTAACTGATGCACTGACTTCATGTGGAGAATTGAAATTTTTTATCACCTTCCTGTGCATAGGTGCTTATGAGTTTGTGTTTCATACATGAGTATACGATTTTTCCTGTGCAATAGTCCTCTCTCTGATTGATGGGTTTACATGATTATCCTTCCTTGTGCGTTTATATAGGGTGTATTAGATATATCTATGATAGTAGATACCGTCTTCCAATAAAATAAGTAAGCAGATGGTGTATGCATGTCTGGTGATTATTTATTTTTTCTACCCCTAAATAATCCAAAAGAAAATGGATAATTATAGTCTTTTTGGTTTGGTAATTTCAAGTATAAGCCAAGCTACATCTTCTCCCCTGCCTTCTGCTAGTGGGGATTTTTCTCTTTTGTTTTTTGTTTGATGTCCGGCATTACTCAAGGAATGTATGTTATTGCAGATTTTTGGTGAGATAGCAGAGGGGTTTGAGACATTGACAAGGATCAATGAGGCTTATGTGGATGAGAACAACAGACCCTATAAGAATATCCGGTCAGTTCCTGTTTTTCCTTGCATATATTTTTCACTTCCTGCTTGTCTCAAGCTAGATTGACACTGTCACATTTATTTGTGTTAGCAGAATCAAACATACTTACATATTGGATGATCCTTTTGATGATCCTTCACAACTAGCTGAGTTAATTCCCGATGCCTCCCCTGAAGGAAAACCAAAGGATGAGGTAGAGTGACTAATTTCCATTGTTATTCCATATCTATCGGAGACTGTGATAACCAAAATGAAGATGAAGATGAGAAATAAATTGCTTATGACACTTGAAATCATGGTTGCGGATCTGTAGCATAAAGTTTGTTAATTTATAACCATTCCCAAAAGCTTAAGCTGTTTGGATACAAGCTAACCATTAATATACATTAAAAAATTAACAATGGTCTTACTCATCTCCCTCCTGACTAGGTTGATGATAATGTGCGGCTTGAAGATGATTGGGTTCCTCTGGATGAACAACTAGGTCCACTAGAACTTGAAGAGCGTCTTCGTGCCAAAGACGCACATTCCAGTGCAGTTGTACTTGAGAGTGTAAGCACCTCAATCATAATCCCATTCTTCTAGTTTCAGAGTGTGCTGTTGTGCAATCACATGTTAATCCTCTTTTGCCATTTTGCTTGTCATATCTGTATAACAGATTGGGGATATTCCTGATGTTGAGATAAAACCTCCCGACAATGTGCTCTTTGTTTGTAAATTGAATCCAGTCACTGAAGTAAGTAGTTCTCTTCTTTTCCCAGACTCCTCTTTCATAGTTTTAACATGTGGAGTGGTGCGTATAATTTTTGCTTTGGTACTTTCTATGCAGGATGAGGACTTGCACACAATTTTTTCGCGTTTTGGAACTGTTCAAGCGTAAGTATTGATCTTGTTTGTTAATTATTAGTAGGCTTTGGGGTTGGTGGGTTATGGATTGTAAAGGTGTGTGTAATGATATGTGAATGATGGCAGGGCTGATATAATCCGTGATTTCAAGACTGGAGATAGCTTATGCTATGCATTCATAGGTGAGTATTATATTTGATTCCTTATTTTTCTGTTTGTAGTAGGAAATACACTATCTCTTAACTGTTATGCTGGAGAATGTAGGGTTTTAGCACCTTTGTTTGATGAGTTCCAACAAAATTTCTGTCCTTTTAAATTCTGTTCACAATTTAATGCTTGACCATAAACCTTAAGTACTATAACGCTCTTTGTCCTGCGTTTGTTCTTTCTATTTAATCTCCTTTTAAAGCTTTTGAATGAATATTCACATTTCTGAGGACAAAACCTAATCACTATGACATTTGTAATGCCAGAATTTGAGACCAGAGAAGCATGCGAACAAGCATATTTTAAGGTACTGTGATCTAATATACATTTCCTGCTTCCATGCCTGGCAATCCTAGCTGATGCTCCGGCCATTTGATTCTTATTTTAGTTATTAGCTGTAGTAAGTAACAACTTCTATAGAGTTCATTATGATTGAAATCTTGTAGTTATGATCATGGGGAAAAGACAAACTTTGTTGCCCTACCAACAAACCCCTTGACATTTTTCTGTTTTGCTCTATAGATTTAATATCCTTTCTGTTGCATTTCCACGTGTATTTTTAAGGCACGCTCAGATAGTCCTTTCAAGTTAGGATTGCAAAAATTCTTGTTGCAGAGCGTATGTAAATCTTGCTGAATATTTTTGGCTTCTCATATGGATGCAGTTCCTTTAAAAAATAGAGTGCAATTATTTGAATATATGCTATATATGAACCCATCTTGCTTTTCTCGTCTTATATGACTTCTTTTTGGTAGATGGATAATGCTTTGATTGATGACCGGAGAATACACGTGGATTTTAGTCAAAGTGTTGCAAAACTGTGGTCCCAGTACAGGCGCAAAGATCAAAAGGGCAAAGGTATAGATTTTGAAGCATGCGGAAAACATTTATGCTTGGTTTCTTTTTGTCCATTTTTTCAATGTGTGCTCAGATGAAGCTTGTTTAATCACCTGCTATTCATAGGAATGTTTTGTACATCTTTCTGTATGCTATTGTTTTTCCTGTTCAGTATGTGTTATTGTTCTCTCGTTCTTTTTTTATTTTTATGATTATCATAATCAGTTAGGCCTACCTGTGGCAAAATTGAAGTGGACCTATGAAAATCAACTTAGCCAACATATGGACTTGTTTGTTGTGCAGTGAAATAAATAGCATTAACTTCATATGTCATAGTTGTGAAAAATCGATTGTAGAAGTGACATCTGTAATAGGTTGCTCAAGTGTGTTTTCTTGCATGATGGAATATCCTTCGGGGTCCATATCCAGAAGTTGTTTCATTCTTAGAAAAGTTCAATGTATCAGCCTAGTTGTTAGCGGAAAAATACAAAACAAAATTATGTAAACTTCTAAATTTGAAATGACTTGGTAATATCTTGGATCAATCATTGTTTTAAAGGGGTAAATTTCATGCAACGTATATTTGTTTGATAACTACCTGAGTGAGTAACAGTTACTCTGCTGACAGATCAAAATAGATGAGCTTGTATGCTCCAGGGCGCCTAGATGGTTTGGAGTTGGGTTTCTGGTCATGATTTTATGAATAAAAGAATTCAAATACGGTAAATTAAAGAGGAAATTGGATAAAATAAATGTTTTAGCAAATTCCTTGGATGTCTTTTTGTTGGAAAGAATTTGCTACATTATCATTGGTTTTAGTAAAATTCCTGGATTTATTTTCAAAAAGGTGTCCTGTATTTGAAATTGTATTGAATTTTTTATCCTCTAGTTCGAATATGTGGGAGTTTATCAAGTTTTATTTTTTGTGGCTGTAGGCAAAGGGTGCTTCAAATGTGGTGCACTTGATCACATTGCCAAGGATTGCACTGGTGATCCTGCCAACACACAGCAACCTCAAAAGTACATATTGAAGGATGATAATGGACAGCGTGGTGGCGGCAAGAACTCTAGGTTGGTAATCTTGCATGCTCTCTCTCTCTCTCTCTCTCTCTCTCTCTCTCTCTCTCTCTCTCTCACGCACATGAAAAACATGTTTTATATAAATATATTTCTGATATGAAATGGTTCTTGTAGTTATGATATGGTATTTGATGGAGACACTCCGGAAATTCCAAGGCAAGAAAAGAGAGGTCAAGGTCACAATAATGACTGTGGAGTCGAGAAACAAAGGATGAATAAGCAGAGTTCCGAGGAACCAAGGCATAGGGATCGAGAAAACAAAGACTCATGTTATAGGGATAGACACAGTGACAGAAGTAGAGGGTACAGAGAGGATTCAAGTCAAGACGGTAAAGCAAATCGATCCAGTGGAAGTAGAAGTGGTCGAGATCGTCTTGAAGAGGGAAGGGATAGAGATAGGCATAAGGACGGACAAAGAGACACAGATGACAAGACAGATCAGCGTGAGAGCAGAAAGAGAGATGCAGATGATGGTATCTATGCAGACAGGAGGGGTGAAAAAGATTACAGAAAGAGGAGTACAGACAGTGATAGAGAGAATCACAAGGAGAGGCAGAGAAACATAGATAATAAGGTCGATCAGCGGGAGAGTGGAAAGAGATATGCAGATGATGGTGAGAGGGGTGGCGTAAATTACAGAAAGAGGAGTGCAGATAGTGATAGACTAGTGGGACGGAGTAGTGACAGTGGAGATTATAGAAAGAACAGCGTAGAGAGGAGGGATGAAACAGACTATAAAAAGAGACATGTAGATGGTGAACGTCGAGACAAGAGAGACGACCGAGTCCATAAGAAAAGAAGTGCAGATGTTGATGCCCATGGAGGTACAAGGGAAAGAGAACATAGACGGCGATAATGACATCTTGATCCCGAGAAATGGCACGAGATGTATAATTTTAACCTCCGAATGTTGCTTCAGGACGTGTTTTTCCATTTGTAGCAGTGTACTTTTCTACCAAACAAGTTATAAAATTTTGGAGTTGGGATTTAGGTCTGTGTCTGAACTTTTGAATCAAATCACGGGGGAAGAATGAAATACCATAAACTTTTTTTACAGAGAAAGGAAATGGTGTCTGGTATTAAATTTTTAATCCCTGCTATTTAAAATTAAACGGGGAATAATTATTAGCACCGTAAAAATCATCTCGCGCTTCCTTTATTTTGTATTCAGGGGAGTGGAGTGCAAATAACTTTTTGAAGTGCAAATAACAGCTCTCGTTTACCAAGTTTGAGCAGAAAAATAACGTTGAACTGTAAAATAGCAAAAGAACAAATATTCATTCAATTCCAATGACAGGAGTTTCAATAGATATAACAACTGAACTGTTTAGACAGAATATCCAAAAGGGTTTCTTCTCCTACTTTTACTGCTATGATTCTACAATAAAATTAGCATCATCTAACCTATCGTACAGAGTTTACATCCAAACTTGTTTAGTAAGACATGAGATTCAAAGGGAACCTTTTAGCTAGAGTCCTTTTGGGGCTTAGATCAGCCTCTTCGATATTTCTGAACGGCCGAGGACGTAGTATACATGGAAGTAGGTCAAAAACATCAAACGATCTCCCATGATCATCACCAAAGAAATTGCGATAATCTTGGACGTGAACAGAAATTGAGAATTGAATCAAATCCTCGGGGCAAGCAGCGGACGTGAAGTACAACTTCACACATGATTCTCCTGTGAATGCCTTTTGTTATCTCTTTCTGTGTGTCCAACCCGGCCCACTCTGTTACGATCATCTGTATAATCACTGTGATTGCGGTGATTACGGTGATCATCTGGTGGGCTTCCTGCCTTTCTCTTGCGACTGCTTGACTTGGGTGAATGAAATACTTGTCCTGAATCAAGTGCTGATACCTCACCTTCTTCTATATTGTTAAAATGTGGTCCATCTCCATGTTCTGGCCTATTCGAGGGCTTCGGCCAGCTTTGCCTCCGGTCCCGCTTGTTTTTCTCACTCCCTGAAGCCAGTTCAATACCATCTTCCAGTTCTTTCTCAATCAAATCATCCTCATCCAGAAAATCTGTCTTTCGAGTAACATCAGCAACAGCTTTCCTTCGTTTCTCAAGTGCTGCCCTTACCTTGTCCTTGTCAATTTTTTTTATAGCTTCCTGAGGTGATCGGCCGTGTGCACTTTGCCTATTATCCAGATTTCGGCCAAAATGTTTGTCCTTTGGTTCCCGTCCTTCCCTTGTTTCACCTTTCCCAATATTGCTTTCTCTTTCTTGACCATCTTCACTATGTCCCTCTGATACAAACCTCGATACATGAGCTTCACCCACCTTCTCCTGGTGCGGTGGCGCTTCAGGGGGTTGAAGTTCAGCATCCATATTCTGCTCTGCGGCACTTTTCAATTCAGCATTTCTGTTGTCATTATTTTGACTTTGGGTTGTTCTAGCAGGTCCACCATTCTCAGCATATGACTGCTCAGACCCTTGCCTCAATGCTAGCTTTGAGGTCCCAGGTCTTGTAGCTCCAGCCTGCAAATGACTGTTGCCTGTTGCCTGTTCATCATTGCTGGTCGTAGGTTTTGCAGAAGCCTGATGAATAGCACCACTCACTGAACTTCCTTCAACGTCATTGGAAGGCAGTAACCGATTTTGTTCATATAGTTCCAGCATTTGATTGCTAACCTCTGCAGAAATAATTGTCAATTAGAACTCATATCAGCATAATAAAACTCATACCACCATATTCAAAAAGAATCCTAATTAATAATTTAGACATGATCATAAGAATTTTACAAAGGTAGGAGGTGGGGAGAGAAGGAGAGAATTCACTACTCTCTGAAACATTTTCTCTGTCTTATTGATTGGTTTGACACTGATTGACACAAAGAATAAAAGGGCCAGAAGTAATGGAAGAGTGAAGAGTGATGGAGTATATTCATCAGATGAAGAAAAAGAGGATGGCAAAGGACAATTTTGATTGCTCTGTAGCATCAGTAATTGAAATAAAACAAGGACACCCACCCTCCAATTGGCGTGGGGTGACATCAAACTCTTGCCACCAGACCTTCTCGCCATCTGATGGAAGCTTTACTTTGAGGAACTTAGCAGCAAGAAAAATGGCACCAGCCGCAATGTGGTGAGGCTTAAATTGCAAGCAAAGTGATGTCCGAAGTCTGCATGCCACATTCCAAGTTCAAGCAAGAAGAAACTGAAGAAAGACCAAGAACAAGAATGACAAATGAACTAAGAGATCCATACCCATCATTTACAAAATTCCACTGCAACTTGGGCAAGGGCATTTTGAGCTACTTTGAATTTCTTTATTGCCTCAACCAGGGGTTTATACGGATGGTGTACATTAAAATCGAAAGCAAGGGTTCCAAGAACAACCCTCTCTCCGAGTAAAATTAATTCTTTCTGCTGTTCATATACCTCCTGCATGATCGTTGCAAATGTATGAATAACCTAAACTGTTACAAAGAATAATAGAAACGTAATTGCATTACAAAACAAACAATAAACTAAATATTGGATTTGGATAGAGTGCGCATATCTGGGGAACATCCAAAAGTATGTTCTTAGGATAAAAGAAATATTAAGAAAATGGAAAAGCAATGTGGAGGTGAGAAGTAGATAGGAGGAAAAGCAAGTTGATTTTCAATCTAGGTGATTTAGCAGCTGACTCCACATTACTATTGCAACATGGGTATGCAGAGTCTTTGTACTTAACCTATAGAGGTAAGTAGGCACTTGGATATTGTATAACCTGAGGGCTGACTGATAGTAAGCAGCTGCGAACTTAGGGGAAATGATAAAGAAGAAGAATAATGGTTCACATATCAGGATTATATATAAAAACAATGAAGCCCTAAACAAGTAAAATCAGTAACATCAAATAAATATTTTTGATTGATAAAGTAGAGCAATGGCAGGTACAAGAACTAGAGTGATAAGTTGATAACTACCTTTTGCTTGATTCTATGAACTGCTGCGGGATCCTTTTTATAAATAATTTCATATGAGACAAGAATAACATCTTTCAGCGGCCTGGGAGTTTCTTCAACCTTCCCAGCAAGAAACATACACACCGTTGCGATGGTCTGCATAACAGTATAACAGAATTTAGTGAAGTGAAAAAAACTTCCCTTTTTTCGATATTAGAAGTCATTTTCCTATTATTTGTTAGATGAGAACTCTGTGCATTTCAACTTAGAATATGACCTAAAGTCAGATGTTTAAGTATGACCTTAAACCTTGCTGTTCATGTCAAGTACTTTCAGGAATTATAGCAATACCCAACATAAGAAAATCCCAGAAATATGAAAAGCATAATTCCAAGCTGACTCAGGTTTTCATTCTTTTGAGTCACTCACAAATGACTACCAGTAAGAATATACGTGGGGATAAACATCTTACTTCCTCATTGGGTACCACAAACACTTGTGACTGCTACACACACGCGCACACACATAACATCAAAAGGACCCTATTTTACAGAATATGACTTGTGAGGGGCTGTTTGAACAGCCTCTCAAATCCTGACAGACGAGATGCTTTAAGGGGCCTCTGTGGGTGTGTTAGTGTGTATGGGCCACATGTTAGTGTGTGAATTATGAAACAGGCACACAATGCATTACATATAAGTTTAAAGATAACTTAGATATAAGAAACTGTAGGGGTTGGGGACCATCAAGGTTGCTCATACTCACCCATCTATCATTCTTTGCATGGGATTGGCAAAGGAAGAATCGGTGGCAGAAAATTATGGCCGTCGCAATTGTTACCTGTGGTCTGCATAAGAAAATGTTCAGGATCAGAAATTATTATCATAAATTACGTGGTAGAATTTAAGTCACAAAAGAAAATGGTATTAAATCTACTATTCAGTAGGAGAACTCTAATGATACTCAGTTCCAATAACGAACATGCTCGTAAAGTTCAATACGGAAATATTGAGTAAGATTGAATTCAATATTTCTGTTTTAAAAGTTAAAAAGCATTTTGTAAGGAAACTAGTGCTAGTTATAGAAATATTCAGTGCTGATAACTAGCCCTTTAAATCCTACCTAATTTTTTGTATGTACATACTACATATACAGAATATAATAACCTTCTGCCAGGTGTCAGAAAACACAATTACTGACTTTGTCTGGATAACTAACATTGTATGATATAAATATTATTCAGGCACTGAAACAGCATAGTTCTCATCCAAACCCAAAGCTAGACCCTTAGCAATTCCCTTTCAACAGGGTATAATAAAGGGAGATGCACAATGGTTTACATAAAAACATAGAATGACAATCAAACAACAGTAACACTATTAGTTTGAAGATAAAAAGTGAGGGAAATGAAATTTATGGATAAGGCTTGCTCACACTTTAAGTCTCATCCCCAGGTCTTGTAAAAAAGTACAGTATGACTTGCGCAAATATGCCTCTTTTTTTAAGTCAATGCCATCTCGTTTAGATGGAGAGTTTTCTTCAATTTCCTTCCTGGAAAAGTACCAATTGGCTCCTTCGTCTGGTATGTCATGAGTGTGTTTATAGGAACCACCTTCACTCATTCCATAATTAGAGGAATCACCAGACAAGAAAGAAGCCATATATACCCTGTTCACCACTTAACATAAATGGCATAGACAGTTCATTCAGTTCAGTGCCGAAACTGTGAAGACTAAATCACAAATTACAGAATCTTCCTGCCAATAGATCATCAACATAAGTCAGGAAAAGTATCGTAATAGTATCACAAACTTTAATAAAGAAAAGGCAAGATCTGAACACGTGTAACTTTTTCATAAAGTAGGAGGCATCTCAATGGTATTATTCTTCCAAGTTTTGTTTATTAGCATTACTTGTGTTTTGGATTTCAAAAGCAAACCAAATTATATGGAAAACGAATTTCCAGGATCAAACTAACTATTCATCCACTTCCAGGATCAAAATAACTATTTACTTTCAGGAAATGCAAAAGAAAACCAAATAATTACCACACAACAGAATTATACATAAATTCCTTATCACTAATATT